CATGTCTTGAGGGCGCGGCGAAAAGGTAGGAGGTCCGGAATCGTCCGGATCTCGGGGGGTAGTTCGTTCCAGAGGGTGGGGGCACCCACAGAGAAGGCCCTCCCCCTGGGGGTCGCCAGCCGACATTGCTTGGCCGACGGCACCCTGAGGAGGCCCGCTCTGTGGGAGCGTACCGGTCTGTGAGAGGGAATCTGTGGCAAATATCCAGAATTGAACTGGATATTTTATTTGGCCAAGCGTGAGATGGGCACAAGGAATTTGTCTCCCTTGCAGAAGCTCAGTGTACATGCAAAGCAACAGAATAATAACCCATAATAATACTAATAATATGGGATAGTAAAGAAGAATAATACAGATAGTTCTCAACTTTCAACCGTTCTAAGTTATAGTGGCACTGAAAAAAGTGACTTATGACCATTTTTCAGTTACAACCTTTGCAGCATTCCCTTAATCAAGTGATCAAAATTCATATGCTTGGCAACTGGTTCATATTTATGACCGTTGCTGTGTCCCAAGGTCATGTGATCACCTTTTGTACTTTCCAACAAGCAAAGTCAACGGGGAAGCCAGATTCACTTAAAAACCGGATTACTAACTTATCAACTGCAGGGGTTCAGTTAACAACTGAGGCAAGAAAGGTTGTAAAATTGGGCAAAACTCGCTTAACATAAATTTTGAGATCAATTGTGATTGTAAATGGAGGATTACCTGTAGTAATACTACAGCATGGGTACATTTACTTAGAATAAAACAATACTGTGAGGATTAGGTGCTTAGCAGAGTGATGGCATGAGGGGGAAAAAAGTCCCTGTGTCCAGTGGCTTTGGCATGCTTTGGCAGCATCCCAAGGGGGGGTGGGGGTTGAAACAGTTTATGTCCAGGATGTGAGGGGTCTGTAAATATTTTCCCAGCTTCTTTCTGATCCATGCAATACACAGGTCTTCGATGGAAGAAGGCAGGCTAGTTGTAATTGTTTTTTCTGCTGTCCTATCTGTCGAAGTTTATAACTGTCCTGTCTGGTTGCTGTACAAGTTACAGATATGTGTTACAAGATTACAAGATGGGCAGATTCAATGTGTCTTTCAGGCTCTCTCTGGTTGCTGCAATTCTTTTACAGTACCACAAGTTCAGTGGTACATTTGAAGATGCAAAAGGCAAACAATAAACTGGAACAGTGGGAAATAAGAGGCTCAAAAGAATTTGCCTTCATTTTATTCATTACCACATCTTGCAACATTAAGCAAAAGTCTTCACGCTTGCCATAAAAATTTATAGGTGAGAAGGGAAAAATGACAGATCTCCCTTCCTGGGCTAGGAAGGCATGGGGATGCCTTGAGCCCCTCTAATCCAGAAGACACCAAGCCCTCCAAAGCTCCTGCTCGGCCGGCGCCCCTTTCTCGTCACCCGCGACTCCGAAGGGCCCGGACCGACCAGCTTCGCCGCCTCCCTCCCCTTCGGCCCTGGCTCCGGAGCAGCGGCGGCCTTGCCGTCGAGGCGCGGGTGGACCGCCGCCCGGAGCTCGGCCAGGGTCAGGCCAGGGCCGGGGCGGCGACTGGCGGGCATCCAGGATGGGTGGGTGGGCGGACCAGGGAGGGGCCCTCGGGCTGGGCAGGGCCGGGAGCCTCTCCCCTGGCCAGGGGACGCAGCGAGCAGCCGTAGCCCAGGCTTCTCCTCGCCGCCACCGCCGCGGAGATGGGCAGCGTCCCCCTCGAGGCCCCCAGGGCCGCGGAGTCTCTCTTCCCGGCCGCCCTCGAGCCCCGCGGCCCCGTCAAGCGGGACTACCACCACCGGTGAGGGCGGGGGGGGGAGGCGCGGGGCGGTGGGCGAGGGCAGGAGCCGAGAGGGCACCGGGCGCGCTCCCTTCTTCGCCGGCCGCCGCACCCCGTGAGCCCCGGCACCTTCCGCGCGGCGACGGCGTTGTTGTCGTCGAGCGAAAGCGCCTCTGCCTTGTAGGCCAGGGAGCCGCCTTTCCCCCCGGCCCGCTACCGCAGGAGCCGGGGGTCCCGCGGGGCTGCCCAGCGCTGCCGTCTCGGGCCGGGGCCGGCAGGAGGGCGGGAGGCCGCGGCGTTGGACGGGCAGCGCGGCGGGGCTTGGCCCCGAGGCCGTCGAAGCGGACCAGCGCAGCTAGGAGAGGCCGCGGAGGGAGCGGGCGGGGGCGACGGGTGGCTTTGCCAGCGAGCCCCCCCATTTGCCTCCGAAGCAGGCGGCGCCCGACTGGGGGCCTGTAAGGGCTCGCTGGGAAAGCCGCTCGGGGCCGCCTTTTCTCCGGAGCCAACCCCGGCTGCGCCCTGAAGGTCGACCGGTCTCCTGGCCCCCTCGGGGGGGGGCGTCGGCTGGGCGTCCGGGATCTGCCGAGGAAAAAGTGCCTTGTTGAGAAGACGCCGCCGTTGAGGAAGGAAGGAGACGCCTCTGCGGGGCTGCCTGCCTGCCTGCCCTAACCCTAACCCTGCAGCAAAGTCGCCTCGAAGCGGAGGGGTGCTGGGGCAGTCACTGCTTATTCCTTTGGCCCAGAGTATGGAAAGGCACACTTAGCCAGTTCTTAATTAAAATACCTGGAATGCCACAAGAGGCCCTTCCTTATTCAGCAATGAATAAGGTTGTGAATTCATTGTAGGATGTAGGTGCTCAATCACTGGAGATGTTTAAGAAGAGACTGGACAACCATTGTCGGAAATGTAGAGGATCTCCTGCTTGAGCAGGGGTTGGACTAGAAGACCTCTAAGGTCCCTTCCAAATCTGTTATCCAATGTTCTGTGAATAAGCATCGGAATAAGGTTTGTTTCTGTTACATACAAGTAACTCCATTCTTACATCTTGGCTCTATATGTACTGATGGGTAGACTCTGGATCTCATTTTTGTCTCCTGTTGAATGAGCCGGAAATGGAGGGGATTTCACTTAACCTGTTATCCGTTGTTAGTTCATGCCCTGGACCAGTTGCGATTGCTACCCTCGTGGAACTTTCTTAAGGGAGAGGAACCAATTTGGATGGTCTGCCTCGGGTGCCTGATGGATCCTGTTGTTTGGGGCCCTGAGTCCGCAAGGAGAAGGGCGGGATATAAATTTAATAAAATAAAATAAATAAATAAATTCTTCTGGATTTCTGATGAGGAAATTCTGTTCAGGTAGTAAGCCAGGTGCCTCTTTCTGGGTCTGACTGGGAATGGCACCTTGGTTTACTGATGGAGATGAAGTGCCAGAAATAACACGTGGAGCAGCTTTGGAAGAAGTCTCCAAGTGAATCTGGCTGAGCATGTATACATGTCCATGTTTGGGTCTAGACCATGTCAATGTGTGGGTGTGTGAATTATCCCTCCTTCTCCCTTGTTGTATTGGATGACTGCCATCTAGCAGTCTTATGAATGAATTAGCTTTATAATTTCCTACATGGTTTCTGTGACAGTTTGTGCAGAATTTTGCAAATAGAGTTGCTTAAAATCACTGTAGGGTGGACTCCTCCACATGGACCATCCTAATTGGTGACTGAAACATTTCTTCCTCCTCCTCCTCCTCCTCCTCCTCCTCCTCCTCCTCCTCCTCCTCCTTGGGATAAGCTTTCTGAGGGAGCAAAGAGGCTGATGTAACCGTTGTCTTTTGCTACCTGCTGGCTGGACCCCTGCTGGACTCCCCTCCTGGTCTTATTAGATCTATTGACAACTTTTGGTATTATTGATTATCTGTGAGGGTTGGTGTTATTTTACAATTTGAACTGCTCATTCCATATTGGGCAGTTCCACTGAGTGTTGGTGGGGGAAGAGAGGTTGGCCTGGAGGCCCCTTACTTGTGGGTTGCCTCAGAGGCCAGTCCTATATATACAGGAAAGGTCATCCAATGGTTCTTGGTACGGCATCATCAACGTGCTGGTAATATTCAATTGTACATCATCAATGGACTGTTAAGGGAGATGTTGTTGTTGACATCGTTTAGCAGTTCCTAGAGATTGTCAAGGTCTGGATGGAATTGGACTGCAGTTGATTCCTGGCAAGTTGCCATGGATATATCAGGTTCCTATACTACATTTCAAGAAGTAGGTTCACAATTTGGATGTTTCTGATTAATGTTTTTTGTTGGCTCAGCAGATGGAAGTTACAGCCAACAAAGACTATGCCTATTTTGGCAGGCGTGCCAGTTGCACACCTGGGGTAAAAGGACCCGACTGCAGTAATTCATGTCCTTATAAGTAGCAAGTTCAAGTACTGTAATGTGCAGTTCTTGGGGGTTGTTCTTAAAGAGTATTTGAGAACCATGATTGATCCAAAATGCAGCAGGCCACATCTTTACGGACTCCTTTGTACACAGGTGCAAGAATACCATGGGAATGGGCTAAAACAAGGGCATACAAGGTCAAGAATGAACAGAGGGTCTGAGGTATTTTCCATGACTTATATGGCAGGATTCTGCTTCTGGCTGTTGGGTGTTGCTTCCTCTGTTGTTGAACTCTTAACACATTGAGTAGCCATGTGGAAAAGAAAATGAGAAAATGAAGATAGTGGCGAGGAATGAGACAATGGAGTGATCCTACAACTGTGTCTGAACATGCTTTTAGCTGAGGAAACAGTTCAATGCAATTACAGGTTCCACTAGAAAATGTAGGAAGCAGTATTGACAACATGGATGCTAGTATCTAGCCACGGGTTGTTTGCTCATTCTGAAAGTCCACTCTGTCTCTTCTATCCTGCCTCACCTACCAGCATAGCCGCTCCACACACACCCCATGATCTGCATTGTTTTCTTTGCAGATCAGGCCTTGACCTAGAAGGGAAGGTTGTAGAGTGCCAGGAGTGTGTGTGTGGGGGGGGTTTAATAGCAACCTGGGTGAGCAAAGGAAGGGCTAACAGGCAGTTTGCAACTATTGACACATTACATGAAGCAACGTCCTGTTACAAAGGATTGCAGACAATGATGAAATGCTCTGACGCAGAGGCTGAAGTCAAATACCTTCCTGTTCTCTTCAGCAGGTGAACGGACTTTGCTGGCTGTTGCTGCTGCAATGGCAGCCGGCAACGGTCCTCCAAGCAGTTGGAAGTTCTCCATCAGAAAATCTCTTCAGGGAGCCAGACAGGCCCTGCAACCCCTGGTGGTTGAGCAGGCTCAGTGAACAGATGGAATCCAAAGTGACCCTTGGCAGGGTGGAGAAGGGCTCCAGGAAATGTTCTTACAGGATGGTACTGATGAATGATTGGTGGCACAGGAATCCGGAGCAAGCTTAGGGGTTGCTGAGGCCATGCCATGGAAAGCAGCCAATTCCTAGGGCAGGGGTAGGCAACCTTGGCTCTTTTATGACTCGTGGACTTCAACTCCCAGAATTCCTGAGCCAGCCATGCTGAGGGGAAAGGGAGAGGTTTCCATGCTGAGCCATGCTGGCTCAGGAATTCTGGGAGTTGAAGTCCACGAGTCATAAAAGAGCCAAGGTTGCCTACCCCTGTCCTAGGGGGTAGCTTGACCAGAGAAAGTTCATTCAAGGCAGATTCTGCCCTTTGCCATGACAGTCCAGTTGGCAGAGCTCTCTAGCTGGCAATCTGAAACCCTAATGCAACACAAAGACTGGAACACAGGGCCTTGGAAGGAAGCACCCAGACTTGAGGGAAAAGCAGCCGTCGGGTTGTATAAGAAAGACCATGACACCCACCTCTGAAAGCCTCCACACAAGTCTCTGGTGGCCTCCAAAGAACTTCCCATTAGTGGCTTGGGCGGTTCTGAGGCTCTCTTGGGAGTTTGTTTGGGTTCTTTTCTAGGCTGCTTCAGGTGGCTTCTGCCTTTGGAACTGCTGCTGATGGCCAGAAGACTAGCCCTGATCAGTTGAGCGCTGCCTGGGTCAAGATGTGTTGCAAAACTCTGGCTACATCTTTTTTTTCTTCTCTCTCTCCAGTAGTCCTTGAAGAGGAATTTCCAGAATATGCAGGAGAATTAAATTGTTCCTCTTAAAAAAAGAGAGACACAAGAGACCTAGAGGAAGTTTAATGGGTTTTGGCAAATATACATGAAATCTCAGGTCTGACAAGAGGAAGGTTAGCATTAAACCATTTTAAGTGTTCCCAGTGAAATATTTGTGTTGCCCATTTCAATTGAAAGGTTCAGCTGGACTTTTTCTAAGTTTGCTTGATTTTTCCAAGGCGAGTATCAGGCAAATGTAGGTGCTCATTTTAAAGAGTGTGAGACTCTGGTTATAGCTAGACCAGTTCACGGCATCTCATCACTTGCTATCCCATCTCCTTCCCAGGATCTTTGTGAACCGGAGCTTGGCACTGGAGAAGATAAAATGCTTTGGTTTTGATATGGACTATACCCTTGCAAGTAAGAAGCCTTGAATGCTGAATCGCTGGAGTGCATGGGGTTGCAGAGGGATGGGGTGATAACCTGCTACAGCTTTCCATGCATTCGGGGCACTTTTTTGCTGAGATGTTGCCCGACAGATCCTTGTGGTCTGTGTTATTAAATTGCATGCATGTCTCCTGATTCAGCCCATCGGGGCCAATGTGTTCTTGGGATGAGAAGAGAAGGTCTGTACTGAAGCTAACTCAAGAGTACCCAGCCTTTGGGAGCTAGCAGGGGGGAGGGAGAGTTTCCCATTCACAAACTAAGTGACATGGAGGACATCTAACAGTCTGAAATATTACCCGCCCCCCCTCCAGCAAGTGGGTCCTTTTTGTCTTTTGCATCCCACCCCCACCCAGAATCACCACTCTCAGTCAGTCATGGCTGTCTTAGCCTACAACTGATGATGATGGCATTTTGTTAATTACTTTTAATGAGAATAACATGTATTTGTGTGATATGAAAATCCTTCCAGGAAACCCATACAGACGGATACAGGATCCTAGCTACAGGATAGAAATCAGCTCAGCCCACCAGCTGTGATGGCTAAATTGGAGTTTTTAATTCAGGAAATTGCTGGGATCTTTGGCAGCCCTAGTGGGCTGCTTTGATCTCATTCAAACTGAGCTTTACCAGGTTGCTTATGTTATTCTGCATTCATGACCAGTTGACCATTTCGCAAATAGATTTCAATATTTGTGCTCTTTTGAACCCCAGTTTTTAATTTTTGAGATGACCATGCGAGCAAGCACCAAGACCAAAGTTCACTTAGAAACTGTTGGTCTTTTACATTTTCTACTTTTCCTTTGGGCTTTGTGATAAAAATCTGAGCCAGGAATGGGAGGGGACTCTGCTCTTTTCTGCTGCAGTGTACAAATCTCCAGACTATGAAGAATTGACCTTTGAGCTGTTGCTGGAGCGACTGGTGTCCATTGGATACCCTCACGAAATTCTGGACTATAAGTACGATCCTGCCTTCCCTACCAGGTAACAAAATAACCAGTTATTTAATTCTTTCAGTTGCTGTTGGAGACTTTGATACTGGACATGAATTGTGGGAGGGAGGCAACCCAGTAATCTTTTCTTTTCATTCTTCAGGGGGCTGATCTTTGATGCCCAGTATGGGAACTTGCTAAAGGTGGACTCCCATGGCAATCTGTTGGTGTGTGCACATGGCTTCCATTTCTTCAAGGGGTAGGACTCTCATCCCTCCTTCATAGCTATGGGGTTTATCTTCTGCTTCTCTGCTGAGACAACTGTAGTAGAACATGACAAAAATATTATAGAAATAGAAATAGAAATAGAAATAGAAATAGAAATAGAAATAGAAATAGAAATAGAAATAGAAATAGAAATAGAAATAGAAATAATAGAAATAGAAATAGAAATGAATGGAATGGAATGGAATAACAGAGTTGAAAGGGACCTTGAAGGTCTGCTCAGGAAGAAAACCCTATACCATTTCAGACAAATAGTTATCCAATCTCTTCTTAAAAACTTCCAGTGTTGGAGCATTCCCAACTTCTAGAGGCAAGTTGTTCCACTGGTTAATTGTTCTAACTGTCAGGAAATTTCTTCTTAGTTCTAGGTTGCTTGATTAGTTTCCATCCATTGCTTTTTGTCCTGCCTTCAGGTGCTTTGAAGAACAGGTTGACACCCTCTTGTTTGTGGCAACCCCTGAGATATTGGAGCACTGCTATGTCACCCCTAATCCTTCTTTTCATTAAACATACCCAATTCCAGCAACCGTTCTTTATATGCTTTAGCCTTCAGTCCCCTGATCATCTTTGTTGCTCCATTTGCATTGCCCCCTTTTCCTGAAGGAAATCCTTGAAGGAGAGCTAATGGCTCACCCGCCCTGCCTTCCTCTCTTTGATTTCTTCCAGAGGGGCCCAATGGCTTTATGGAGGAGCTTCTGTAAGCTGTTGGCCTCCTGCAGATGCTGAAAGATGCTTCGTGGTTCGGAACAAGGACCTTATACCCTCCTCACAAAAGCTCCTTTACCTCCTATGGATTTAGGAGCTAAGTATTCATATCCTGGTTAACCAGGACAGCTTCACTGTCACAGGTCAAGCAAGGACAGTATGCAATAGTGAAAATGAAAGAATAGAAGAACCTCATCCCCACTTCTGGTTAGGGTATGAGACAAGTTGCAAAATGACATGATAGCAGAATTCCAGTATTTGAGAGGCTGCCACAAAGAAGAGGGGGTCAAATTATTGTTCAAAGCACCAGAGGGCAGGACAAGAAACAATGGTTGGAAACTGACCAAAGAGAGAAGCAACCTGGAATTAAGGAAAAAGTTCCTAACAGTGAGGACAATTAACCAGTGGAACAGCCTGCCTCCAGAAATTGTAGACGCTCCATTATTGGAGGTTTTTAAGAAGAGACTGGGCAGTCACTTGTCTGAAATGGTATAGCCCCACCTTTGGCTTCCTGGAGCTTTCCCATCCCTTTCTTCTCTCATTGGACGGCAGAGCAGCCCCTCTTCCCTGGCCACTCTTGTGCTCGTCTTTGTAGGGCTGCAGTCCAAGGGAAGCAGGTGATGGAGCCGGGATTGGAAAGGGAAAGGAGCACAGTTCCCGTCTACCTATTCCAAGGCCTCAGTTGAAATTCCAGAAGATTTTGAGTCTCTCCTTGCTGAAGCTTTGCCTCTTTCCATTTCCAACTGCCAGAAACCCAGCCTGGAGCTCAAGAGCAAAGGCCAGATGTACCAAAGATGCAGCCTGAATTTGGGACAGTCACCCCTACAAGAGAGCAGGTCACATGGGGAACTGAGAAGATGGTTAGGAGTTCCTTTCACACTTTCAGCAAAACCGGCGGCTTGGGACAAAAGTCTTAGTAATGTTTGCCTTCAGTACAACTACATCCCTATCTCACTGATGACTTTTTCTGTTTTTCTGTTTTTAGGAATGAAATCTGGAATTATTACCCAAACAAATTTATTCAGAGAGACGACACAAAACGTTTTCATATTCTGAATACTTTGTTTAATTTGACAGGTATTTACAAAGGGAGAGTTGGGAAGAGGGGTCGACCTTGGGCCAGGGCACTGCCTGTCCCAAAGGAGGGCTTAATCTGGCTGCTCCTGGGTTGGGAGGAATATCGGGCACAGGCACCTGTTAATTTTTGTGGAAGTGAGAGTGCAAACAAAGCACCAAGTTCCCACTGTATCCTACAGCCGGTAAGCATAAAATGTACCTTTTTCTCCCTAAATTCAGCTCTCTAAGCTTTCCAAGATTGCTTCAAGTTGCTTTGTTCTAAGCGTAAAGCAAATTGCAAAATTTCACAAACTTTCCTCAGAGTGGCAACTGTTTTGGACCAGAACTGGAATGTTGAAAGGGAGAATAAAGGAACAGAGCTTGGAAGCGAGTGCAGACTGTACTCCTTGCTCCAACATACCCCTTGAACCCTGAATTGCTGCTCTAACTTGCAGCTTCCTCCAGTGATGTTCCTGAAATTGGGGACAAGGTTTTCTGCATAGGATTGACAAGGAAGTGAGGGGTAACTGCTGAAAAATTACTTAGAGCAGTGGTCCCCAGCCTTTCTGGTTTTGAGGACTGGTGGGGAGGAGGGGGCAAGAAAATGGTTCTGTGTGAGTAGCAGGTGCGTGCACTTGCAGCTCCATTTGTGTGGAGCTTCACACACACACACAAATGCCTGTCACTCATGCAAATGGAGCTGCGTGTGTGCACTCACCTGCTGCTTGCCCAGCCCTGTTCCAAACCGTCTGCAGCACAGTACTGGCCCACAACCTGGGGGTTGGGGACCCCTGGTGTAGAGAGGGCCCACATTTTCTTTCTAAAGCATTTTGTATGTACAGTGGTACCTAGGTACTCATCGTTAATTGGTTCTGGGAGGTGCTAAACAATTTTTTCTCATAAGGAATAATGTAGTCACAAGGCAACCGACACTGACAAGTTCTAGCTTGTGCATTGAGTACCAAACAAACAATGAGCATTGGGACAAAATTTTTGTACCAATGCGTTGAGTCCCAAATTTGATGAGTTTCAAAGCAGTTGAGTACCACTGTACCACTGTATTTTAAACCATTTTCCTGTGATTTAACTTTGGCTAAGTTTATATAACTTACTTAGCTGAGCCAGTTTAAGATCCAGCAGCTGCATTTGCACAATATGCGAACCTTGTTTTAATAATAATAATAATAATAATAATAATAATAATAATAATAATAATAATAACAACAACAACTTGATAGGTAGACAAAATGCCAAATCCAGTCTGAACATCTGGCTGACTGTGCAATGATCCATAATAATAATAATAATAATAATAATAATAATAATAATAATAATAATAATAATAATAATAATAATAATAATAAAGTTGGAAGGGACCTTGGAGGTCATCTAGTCCAACCCCTTGCTCAGGCAGGAAACCCTATACCATTTCGGACAAATGGCTGTCCAGTTTCTTCTTAAAAACCTCCAGTGTTGGAGCATTCACCGCTTCTGGAGGCAGGTTGTTCCACTGGTTAATTGTTCTAACTGTCAGGAAGTTTCTCTTTAGTTCTAGGTTGCTTCTCTCCTAACATTGGTTAGGTTTTTTTGTGATTTAGCATGTGGCACAAATCCAGACCTTGAGGTCCATGAGGAAATGGATTCTTTTGATGAGCAAGTGAAGATGTTTGGCAAGTGCAATCTGTATTCATGGTGTGGCACAAACAATTTCCCAGGCATGGCACCTTGCAGGCTAAAGTTGACCACCTCTGGTTTAAGTTGAGCTGTCAGAGCCAGATGGATTTTCCAAGCAGCGCCAGCCTGAAATGGGCCTCCCCCTTGGCCTAGAGGGGGCTTCCGCTCACCCTTTTCTCCCTCCCCACAGAAACCTACCTCTTGGCCTGTCTCGTGGACTTCTTCACCAGCTGCTCCAAATACATGAAGTAAGCGTTGTGGCTGAAGCCCTTGGGTGGCCCAGCCTGGCCTCATCTGGGTGAAGGGTGCTGCCTGGGGCTTTAGAGCCTTCTGGGATGCCAACCCCAGTGTGCCAAGGGGCAGAGACCGGGAACTCTGTTCCAGTTTGCAAGTTTGCTTGTGTTCCTGGGCTCTCCCTGCTGTGTGGAATCATGGCTGATCTCACCTTGGACTTGTTCCTCTTTCATTCTCAGTTGTGAGACCGGCTACAGGCAGGGCAACCTCTTCATGTCCTTCCGCAGCATGTTGCAGGATGTCCGAGAGGCCATGGATCATGTTCACCTTTCAGTAAGCAGAAGAGGGGGGGGAGGAGGAGGGGGCTAGGCAAGGGCATGGATGCGGCAATGCGCCTTGGATAGACCAAGATATTTCCTTGCCTTATTTATTACAGTGAGTCAAACTTAAGAGCCTGCTTGGTCTAGTGGTTGATCAGGAGTGGGGAGTGGGCACAGGCATTGGATCAGGAGTGGGGAGTGTGCACAGGCATGATGTGAGCTGGGTGATTTTGAGCCAGCCCCTCTCACTAGGAAGAAAAAGGCCATGCAAATCACTTTAAAGAATGATGCTGAAAAAGTGCAGAGTTCCAGGAGTCAAGAGAGACTCAAAGCCACTAAAAATCAAACCAAAACTCACCACCTAGTCACATCTTACATTTGCAGTTCCAAGGCAGCTTAAAAATAACTTCAAAATACATTGATAAGGTCATCTTAACTATTGGTAATAAAAATCTTGGATGTGAGGGAAGAGTTAGAATTTTGGGCTTGCCTTGGTCTACTGGACCACTTTCAAACTGCCATGGGCAGTCCCACAGAGTCAGCATCAGGAGCTGCCCTGGCCAAACTGCCCTGCAAGAGACCCACAATTGATTGGCCTGGGTGGTGACACTGAGCTCACGTGGCCTCCTCATCTGTTGCTCTCCTAGGGCTCCCTCAAGGAGAAAATGCTGAAGGACCTGGAGAAGTATGTGGTAAAAGATGTAAGTGAGCTTATATCTTGGCTTGGAGAGAGAGTTATTGCAGAGGAGGCCCCTTTTCAGCCCCTGAAATCCTATCTTGAAAGGCCTTCTCTTGAAGACACTCGGAACGCTGCTGCAGGGAGTAGCCAGGCTCTGATCTGCAGCTTGTTTCCGTCTTCTTTCCTTCAGCCCCGTATTCCTCTTCTGCTGAGTCGCATGAAAGATGCAGGGAAAATGTTTCTTGCCACCAACAGTGACTACAACTATACAGATGTAAGTCGGGCCTTCCAAGAGAAGGTGAGATGGGACCTGCTGTCCTCCATGCTTAGTTCAAGATACGGTGGTAGTGCCAAACTGACCATTTGGCTGGGTGACCTTGCAACTGCTCATGGAGCCAGATAGTTTGGAGGGAGGAGGTCAGTGGCAGGGAGATGCATGGAAGAGACCCTGATGGCTTTGCATCCTTGTCTAACGAGGCCGTTGAACCTGGGCTGATTTTTCACTGCAGAAGAGAGTAGCACTGGGCTTATCTCTTTCCAGGCAATCATGACATACTTACTTGACTTCAGTGAAGAAAACATGGTAAGTCAATCTGTGAGCTGGTGAGATGTTTCAGGCCCAGGTGGCCATTAGCAGCATCTGGGTGGGTCAATTCATGTGGATTGCAGCAAGGTAGTTGGGCTGGGGGATAGGCCTTCCTGCCAGACAGTAAGGAATGTTGGGGCTGCCCTTCCTTTCATGTCTCCTGTATTTGTCTCCATGGGAAACAGCTGCTATTAAGTCCCATGTACTATGGTGATGTAAATTGTCAGGAGCTTGCAGTGTTAAGGTAGCACTTATTAAAGTCCATATAACAGGCCTGTAACTGAGGAGGGAGAGAAAGACATGTATGCAGTCATTGTGAGCTTGTGACTAATAGGAAATCTTCAGGACTTTTCAGTATGCCAAGTAGCCTAATTTGTTCCTTTTCCAACAGCAGGATAAATCCCAGCATCGACCGTGGCGCTCTTACTTTGATATGATTGTTGTCGACACTTGCAAGCCCCTCTTTTTTGCTGAGGGAACTGTTCTGCGGCAAGTCAACACAGTACGTATTGGTCAGGGCCAAAAGCAGGGAGGATGGCAGAGAAGAGTGGGGCAGGATCCAGGAGGAACTTCATGAAAACAGGGAAGGGTTCATTGTCATCCTGTCCAAATGGGCCAAGATCGGGGGAGATCCATAAGAGGTGAATGTGTACAATAGTGGAAACCGATCAATGGGCAACAAAATCTCACCATCACCTAGCAAGATTTGTTCTGCTTATGCTTATTCCCAGATTATATATACTGTAGGTGTTCCTGATTATAGGACCTTATGGCATCTACCTGCATAGTGCATGGAGTTCTTTTCTAGCCTTCGTTTTTGCTTATCTGGCTGATTGTACTCGGAAGGATCTGACCCAAAAGGCTTTGGGCGCTTCAGAATGAGCCCCACATGACTCTCCACAGATACTGGTCAGACTAATACATGTTTGAGGGGGTGCATCCTGTTGCAACACAGCAAGAAGCAATTTCAGCTGTTGGATGCAGAGCATCAGTCCATTCCCTCTTTCTCCTTGAAAAGCGTGTTCCTACGCCACCTTTTTTGGCCATGGATTACAGGGGGAAAGCACACCTTTGTTTTGGATATTCTGTTAATTTGCTCAGCCCTCCTAGACTGGTATTTGCTTGGGGTGTTCCCTCTGCCAAAATCTAGTCTTCATTACTTGAATATTGCTTGCTTAGGCTAATTGGTCTATTTGGGGTCCTTGGTGCTCTTGGAACTTGGTTGTTTTCTTGCAGATGTTTCATTACCCAAACGAGGTAACATCATTAGTGCTAGTTTGTCTCTTGAAGCTGCCACAGGTTCCTGGTTGACGTTGGTAGGTCTTCAGGCTGATATTTCAGAGGATCCAGATGAGTCCATTATATTTGTACATTCACATTTCAGAGAGCCTCATACAGAGCATGATGGCACTCAGGCAGTTCATTGAGAGCCTGCCCATCCATGCTGACTGCTCCTACCAATACAGTGTACAGTAGTATGCAGGCTGAAGCTAAGAAAGCAAACTAATGCACTAAAAGCATCCTTATGGGGACAAAATGTAATTTTTTGGATGTAAGATGACTTTTTGAAGAATTAGAATGGTAGACACAACAGGTGAGCAAACTTTCCTTCATTGCAGACACTGAGTTAGGATGTCTATCAATGAGTATAAACAAATAGATATGAATTACCGGTAGTTTAAAATCAGTCAGCAATTGCTGGAGAAAGAAGTGCTGCAGCCTTTGACATCCACCTCATTGCATTCATCCAAGTCTGACTGAGGATTTATGGAAGATGCAAGAAACTGCTCAGTAGGGCTGGCAAAGAAAACCCCAGTATTCTGTTTTGACCTTTGCCCCTCTATACATCCGAGTCTTTGGAAACTGAGTCCATGAAGCTGGGAGCTAGCAAAGTTCCTCTCTTTGGCTATGAAAAGTTGCTTTGACAGACCCAAAACTTGTGCTTCCATTGGGGAGAACCTGCCTGCTTCACAGGAAGTGGCTTTTAAGAACCAGTTCTCACCCAAACCATTATTAAGCCTTTTATTTATGGAGCCTTTTGTTGATGAAGCAGTAACTGTTGCAGATCTGGTTATTGGAGTTGCTCCCAGCTTCCAAAAATTCAGAAGTCCAAGCAGCTGAAGATTAAGTGGAATCCAAACATGCAGAGAATAACAGAATAACAGAGTTGGAAGGGACCTTGGAGGTCTTCTAGTCCAGCCCTCTGCTCAAGGAGACTCTATACTATTTCAGACAAATGGCTGTCCATTCTCTTCTTAAAAGCCTCTGTTGATGGAGCAACCACAACTTCTGAAGGCAAGTGGGCACTGATCTGTGAGCCTTTGTTTAGCAGTCTCCAGGCCTTCAGACTCAGACCCTTGTATTTTTTCAATAGCTGAGTCTAAGATCAAGACAACTTGGAGAGTCAGTTGGTGGAAGTATAGAAAAGTGTGAAGATTTAATGATAAGACTCAGCTATTGAAAAAATACAAGGGTCTGAGTCTGAAGCCTGCAGCTGTTGTAATCCCAGGAATACTTGGCTACACAATGGAACAGATCTTAAATCTTCACACCTTTCTATACTTCCACCAACTGACTCTCCAAGTTGTCTTGATCTTAGACTCTAATCTCATTTTCAGAGATTGGGGGGGGGGGGAGGTATGTACTGCTATTCTGTTCCATTGTGTAGCCAAGTATTCCTGGGATTACAACAGCTGCAGGATGTACCATTCATTATTTTGTGTAATTCTGGTAGTGGGGATTGTTGTGAGGGCTCTATTGGCATCTTCTAGCATACTCTCTGATGATACTTCTGTACTGAGCCTTGATAATTTATTTCAGGGGTTGATTGTAGCCAGTTTATTTATCATCTTATGCCTCATATCACCTACTGTGTTCTGTAATGGAAGGGGTTGCAGTAACGTTCCAGCTTCAGGTATGGGCTGCACATCCCATTGTTCTTTAGAAGAAGAAGAATAGAAGAATAGAACAGAGCTGGAAGGGACCTTGGAGGTCTTCTGGTCCAGCCCCCTGCTCAAGCAGGAGAACCTATACTATCTCAGACAAGTGACTGTCTAGCCTCTTCTTAAAAATCTCCAGTGATGGAGTGCCCACGATTTCTGTGGGAAAGCTATTCCACTGGTTGATTGTCCTCACTGTCAAGAAGTTTCTCCTTAATTCTAGGTTGGTATGGTGACCAAAATTGGCTGCAGTATTCCAGGTGTGGTCTTACTAGGGTTTTATAAAGCGGTAATAATACTTCACGTGATCTTGATTCTATGCCTCTATTTATACAACCCAGGATTGTATTAGCTTTTTTGGCTGCTGCTGCACATGGCTGGCTCATGGTCAATGATCATCCACTAGGATTCCAAGGTCCCTGTCACAGCTGTTGTTTTTGATCTCGCCCAGTCTGTACTTGTGTTCATAAACCTGTGGGTTAGAGGGGTTGTCTGTGCACAGTGGTGCGCATGTTTGGTTACTCTAAGAAAACCCCATCTTTGTGTGCAGGACACGGGGAAGCTGCGAATTGGGACCTACAGAGGACCACATCAGCACTGTGCTGTCTACTCTGGAGGTAAAGTTGCCTGAGTATCCCTTTGGGCCTGCCGCCTTTCCGATAGCTGTTTCCTTGCGTACCTTGGAAAGTGCTTCTCATTGCAGGGTGGATAAATATCTCTTTTGCCTCCCCATGGCAAAGTGGCGTAAAAAACACAATTCTTCAGTCTCCATGGGCTTGGAGGACTGGCAGCAAAGTAGCTGTTCTTGCCGTTTATCACCTGTGAGAACTGGCAACCAGAAGACCAGTTTCCATTCCTTCTGCTGTTGGGTGGGCAGATGTGGCAGCAATGGCTTTCGGACACAACCATTGCCAAAAGGTGACCGGGTGGCCAATAGAAGAGGCCCCTCGGAATGATTGCTCTACATAGGTCTGCACTGGCAGAAGAGGAAAAGCCCCTCCTTTGAAGTGAAACGAGCAAGGGCCAAGGATGGTCTGGAGGGTGGTGGACAAGGCCATGTGTTCCTATTGTCAACAAATGATTAGGGTCAGGAGTGTCCTCTCCCAGGACAAGCAGGGCATCCCAAAAAGCTGTGGGACTTAAGAAATTGTGGATGTGGAGGAAGGGCAATTGCACTGATGCCCTGACAACATCTCAAAGCCTTTTAGCACATCTACCATTCGCTCTTCTAGTCATGCTGACTGCTGGAGAGGTACGCCAGTAATTCTGGTACTTTGGGATGTGTTGTGCTTCTGGAAAATTGTCCTCAAGGCCTCGGCTGCCTCATAAGACTTGATCCTGTCCCTTCTGCTACTAAATATCTACCTGAAGATAGAAGGTAGTGGTGGATGCATACCTAGTGCTGGAGTGAATTGCCCCCAATATGCCAATAGTAGCTCTAATGGTCCACATTAGTACATTGCTTGAAGGTGAAAATTGAAAATTAATCCACACAATACAGTATGGAATTGTTATTTTCTGCACAAAATCTGGGTTGGGGACCTGAAAAGGATTGTACTGCCTGTAAACAGAGCCATCCAACCTTTTTGCATGCAATATAAAATTATCAATCACATCCCTCCCCCCAATCTTGGGAGGCTTAAGGAGTAAAATATGGATATCAAACTTCAGAAAGGCATCATAAACATTTTGCTCCTTATTTCTGCCTGCCTCCAAAGGAATAAAAATCACACCCCTGATAATTGGTGATAGGATATTTGGCTGCCCAGATCATGGGTTGCTAACTAGTGGCCCCTGATTGAGCTCCTACACTCTTTTTTGACCCCTTAGAGCTTACTCTAACCACAATGACTAAGAATTCAAGGTGTTAACTACTTTGAGATAGGAACCTAAGAACAGTAGAACACATCCTATCACAGGCCAAAGAATTCAGCCCCCGTCCCACAGCTGGAGAAATCTTCCCCAAATTTGCATCATGTGCAGAACCCAATCATTAAACATGCCTTCCCCCTCCCAGTGGCTGCAGGCATGGTCCTGGAGCTGTCTGTGGTCACTAAATGTGTTGACCTAGATCTTCAGCTACTGGTGGGGCAATCCTGACACTTATTGGCTCATCTCATAGTCATCATGAACCTCCCCCAATTACTAAAATGTGCAGATGAGGCTGTTCCATGGACTTTTGGTGATACATAGAGGATATCTTTTCCTCTCATTTAATTCCCATAGGGAAAACTGGGGTGTGCTCACGCCCTTTCATTTCCACTTTCAAAAAGTGTGGCTAATAGTTAAATTCCCCCATAATTAACATATGTGAGAATGAAACATTTTTCCCCCTTTCTAGGTTCCTCAGACATGATATGTGACCTCTTGGGCGTGAAGGGCAAGGAGATTCTTTACATTGGTGATCATATCTTTGGGGATATTCTCAAATCTAAGAAGAGGCAAGGATGGCGCACATTCCTGGTGGTCCCAGAAGTGGCTAAGGAGCTGCAAGTGTGGACTGAGAAGAGTGGTGAGGTTTCATCTGCCTGTGGGGATAGCGGTGGCCCCAGGTGAGGGCCTCTTGTTGGAACTTAGAAGGAGCACCACCTGTGGTTCAGTCACCTTCCAACCCATGGTCTGATCTCTCCCTGGCATTTTCAGAGGCCTTTCAATTGCCCACCTCAAAGAGCCACATTGCCCTCAGTCCCTGGGACCTGCTCTGCTGGTTTTCCCATCCTTTTTGGACAATCAGCTAAATCAGGTGCTGTCATTAGAAAGCCGTTTTCTCTTTACAGAGCTCTTTGAGGAGTTGCGGAGCCTGGATATGCTTTTGGCTGAACTGTACCAGTGAGTAAGACCTTTTTGATCCATTAGCATTTTGCCTGGATTGTAAGGGATGTTTTTCACAGCCGCATTGATATGGCCAGTCATAAACTTGGCTGCCCTACCCAGCTTGGCCCCAACCTCTTCAGAAGTGAGGCCAGCAGCTGGTGCTGTCCTTACAGTTTCAATACAGAATCATTTAAGGGAAGTGATTGGTGGATTGTCCTGGCTGTGTTTTCGCTCCACTCAAAATCACCTGCTGCCTGGCAAAACAGTCACTCTGCTTAATATGTGGGTGAATCTAGAGAA